CACCGGGGGGACGGCACCGGGGGGACGGCACCGGGGGGACGGCACCGAAGGGAGGCACTGACTGACCTGCAGCACGGCGGGGAGGCAGCGCCGAGGGGCAGCTCGGAACCACCACCGGCCCCGCCGCCGCCACTCCGCTCCCGCCGCCACCTCAGCACCGGAACACGCCGCCGCTTCCGCCCCGCCGGGACAGCGACCAATCACCTGCGGAGCTTGAAAGATGGACGTGACCGCCAGCCAATCGCGACGGAGCAGCAGCCGCGATGCCATCGTTGTCCTGCAACATGGCACAAAGTCACCAATCCGAGGAGGCCTTGGGGCCCCGCCCAATAGCAAAGCAGCGGCCAATCAGCCGCGGGTTCCTGTCAGGGGCGGGGCCGGCCGGGGGCGGGGCCGGCCGGGGGCGGGGCCCGCCCGTTCGGTGCTGGGAGCGCCCGAGGCGGGGTCCAGTCACGGACTGGTTTGGGCGGAACAGACCTTTAAGGATCATCCGGTCCCACCCCCTGCCGTGGGCAGGGACGTGTCGCACTACGCCAGGTGTCTCCAAGCCTCGTCCAGCCTGGCCTTGGGCACTCGTGAATGTACCCAGTGCAAACCTGCCCTCGTGCACAGTTGTCCCTCGTAGGTGTAATAAGTAAGCAATAGTAAAATTTACTCGTCAAAATATATATATTGTATTTTCTGTATATTATAGCTAATGCTTGGTTGGGACTAGGGAATGGTAAGCTGCGGAATAGTTAACTCCTGTATTATTATCATAAGTTGACTGTCCTGCAAATGGCAGTTCCCAAGTTGGCAAAGATAAAGTATTTTGCTTTACTGAGCACGTATACCATATCCTGCTTCTCTAAAAATATTGTTTAAGTGTATTCATTAGAAAAGAAGAAGAGAACGAGGATCAGAGGGTCAAGGATGGAGACGATAAAGAAGGGCCAAGGAGAACATCTGGACCATCTGGACACCTTCCCATATTCAGCTCCAAGGACATTGGGCTAATTAAAGCTATTGATGGAAAGTACTGATGGAAAGTCCCTGGCAATCAAGATGGGCCTGCAACAGAACCAACCAGAACAAAGCCCGCGAACCCAAGCCCAATCAAGAGCGAACAAGTGACTATGGGAGGGGGTTGGAAAAGTATAAAAGTTGCTGTTTGTTTTTATTGGGCTTGTGGGGCTGGTGAGGAGCAGGGGTCTCCTCAGGCCACCCAGCACGCTGATTTGTTTATCTGCACTTTATAAATCTCACAATAAATTTTGCTGCTAAATTTTGATTTGGTTTATTTACCTATAACATAGGGCATTACAGCCCTCGGCAGAAAAAGATTTTTGTCTTTCTTCTAAGCTCCCTCTCCGTACGGAAAGGCTGCAGTAAGGTCTCTGTGGAGGTCTCTTCTCCAGGGGAACCCCCCCAGCTCTCCCAGCCTGGCTCCAGAGCAGAGGGGCTCCAGCCCTGGCAGCAGCTCCGGGGCCTCCTCTGGACTCTCTCCAGCAGCTCCACGTCCTTGTGCTGTTGTTCCCAGGGCTGGAGCAGCTCTGCAGGGGGGTCTCACAAGAGCAGAGCAGAGGGACAGAATCCCCCCTCCCCTGCTGCCCACACTGGTGGGGATGTGCACACTGCCAGCTCCTCTCCAGTTTTTTGTTTTCTTTGAGTCATTCTCTTCAGAACTCTCCATCCATTCATCTCCTGGTCTGCACTGGTTCCAGAGGGTGCCCCCAGCCAGGTGTAAGGCGAGAGTTCATGAAGCCTGAGCAGCCCAATTCCCTCTCCCCTGACTGTCCCCATCACATGTTGGTGTGTGCATTGGGATGCACCCGTATTCCTGCTTCTGGAACGGCCACAGGCTCTGTTCTGAGTTCACAAGGCCTCAGGACGAGGCCTGACAGACGTGTCTGAATTTTTCACACCCTTCCTGCAGCTTTGTTCACTTGGTTTCGCTGTGAGAGCAATTTCTCTAATGTCAAAATAAACTATGGCTGGTTTATTTTGCTTATTTATCTTTGTGTGGTACAGCCATGGTCCTAGATAGATAGTCATAGCAAGCAGTTATTCTAGGTAGAATATTTCCAACTCTAACACGTGTGCACATGAGTCTAAGTGGAAGGAAAGAGAAGAAAGGGAAAAAAGACAAAAAGAAGAGAGGATGAGGAAACCATTAACAAGAACATCACATTCCTCCAGTGAAGGACTCTGGATGCTGACAGCTTGCTATGACACTCCCGTCCCCCCTGCAAGCATCTGAGGGAACCACAGATCTTAATACCCAGAGGAGCAGCAGGCAGGTGAGTGTAACACCAGAAAAAGCACAGAAACAAGGCAGGTGTGTTGCAATTTTAATTTGATTATTGCTACTAGTGCAACTTTTTTCTTGTATATAAGTACTTGGCCTACATTATTTTTCTTTGCTTACTGTAATTAAATCTAGATTAATAATGACTCTTGAACTAGGCTGTTAAAATTTCTATTATACTAAAAATAAATTTTGGCTTTAAGTGTATATTTAAAGTAGTGTGGTTGATACTCTAGAGGGAAGGGATGGGGCACCCAGAAGGACCTGGACAGGGTAGAGAGAAGGGCTCGTGCCAACCTCGTGAAGTTCAACAAGGCCAAGTGCAAGGTCCTGCACCTGGACTGGGGCAATCCCAAACACAGGTACGGGCTGGGTGACGAGTGCATCCAAAGCAGTCCTGTGGAGAAGGACTTGGGGGTCTTGGCGAATGCAAAACTGAACATGGACCAGCAAAGTGTGCTCACAGCCCAGGGAGCCCCTGTATCCTGGGCTCCATCAAAAGAAACATGGCAGCAGGTCAAGGGAGGGGATTCTCCCCCTCTACCACTTGACTCTACCTGCTTCAGTGGAAGGTGCCCCTGCCCGTGGCAGGGAGTGGAATCAGATGACCTTTAAGGTCTCTTGCAACCCAAACCATTCTGTGATTCTGTGAAGATCTATCAGTGGCAAATACACACAGTGGGTGGGATTAGACATCCAGCCTACCCAGCAGCTGGCTCTCGAGGCCTGGTCTCTCCAGCTGCTGGCACATGGACATGCCAGGCACTCAAGGTGCACATCCCCACCTCGGTGGCTGGTACACGTTCCCTCGCACACACCGACACACAAACAGACATGTGCACTGTGTGTCCCTCCAGAGGCCCACAGCGTGCAGCTCTCTGTCTCCTGCACAGAGAAACACAGACAAGTGGATCTCCCTCAACCCCACACCTTCAGTCTCTCCAGCTGTTGGGCTGGACCCCTGGTCCTTCCAATAGTCAACTACTCCAGTGTTCTCACTGACAAAGACACACACGCAGCTGGTTCCCAAAACACTTCATCTATGGGCTGGCTGGGCTGGCTTGATATCACTGGTGATCATAGACTGACATAGCTCACTCAATCCAGTTGTGGGCACTCAAATCCCCCTGCACACGTGTGTCCAGAGCACAGCACTGTGCAGACAGAAAAAAAGAGGTAGAAATGTTAGAAGACAGGAAAGACTGTGCTGATCCAGCACAGGGTATGGCTGGACATTCGTACTGACCAACACCATTCTACACACAACAAACCTCTTGTATCCACCTTCCCTCCATTTTCCTGTGCTTGTTCATCCCCAAACTGCCTAGACCCATCCCTTTTCCCACCTTTCCTTCCTCCCCTAAACATCCCATTGTGAGTCCCGTGCAATAAATCCGCAGATGCTCTTCCCCTGCACCATGTTTTCCATGCCCCAGGCAGCACCCACTTGGTCTGTAAGGTACTCTGACAACTTCTCCTGTTCATTCACCATGATGGTGTCGTCTCTAGGCCCATGGGGCTGATGGCTCCCCTGTGACAGGCTTAGAAGGAGCTGGGACAGGGCCTTCATTTCTCCTACGGGGTTATTTGGTCCCCATCCTGTGGTTGTCTCTCTTTGTTCCTACTGCTTTGTGCAGATGAGCCTTTCTTGGGTTGACTGCAGGTCTGTGGTGATTCTGGGATTAACCAGGCTAGGGCATTACTGGGATTCCCCCACCTGCCACTGTTCCTCTGTGTCACTTTGTGTGTGTGGAGGTGAGGTTTTCCCCGTATGGCCTCACTCTTGTACTGGGCCACTTCTGTAGCACCTTCTGGTCCTACTCACCCAGTTATTCAACATGTCTGTTTGAGAAAACAGACTATCAAATCCAGTTAGAGGAGTAGATCCTTACTTAACCTCACATCCCACGTCTCATAGCCATTTCCTCTTATCTTCATGTATAATTATATCAAGGTTAAAACCAGGGTAGTCTCCCAAACCAGTATAGCTCCCGATGCCAGTGTCTGATTAACCTTCTCACCCTTTCTGGTTTAGCTCCTGAAATAGCAGTGATTTACTAGATTATCTTGCATCCATTCTAAGAAGACTGTTTGTATCATTGAAACTTTCTGATTTGTAGCCCAGCCTCTAAGAGGATTAATGTTTATAATTGGCTTGCAGAAAGTTCGATCCCTCCCATAACTGTTGAACGTGGGCAGGAGCAGACAGGCAGTGCTGGGAGAGCCACGGGAGGAAGAGCATCACTCCCGTAGCATCATCCTTCTGACCACAGACACTCATGGGAAACAACAGCAGCTCCACAGTGGATGACCTCCAGGCTGTTGAGATCCACCACTGGTACAAGAAGTTCATGACGGAGTGTCCTTCTGGCCAGCTGACAGAGCATGAATTCAAGCAGTTCTTTGGGCTTCGAGGGCTCGATCCAGAGGCCAATAGGTACATTGAGCAGATGTTCCGCACGTTTGATATGAACAAGGTGAGTTCTCCAGCAAGGAATTAACTGGCTCGTGCTGCTTGAAAGTGAACCAACTCCTGCACTTTTAGAGTCCTCTCTTCTCTCTCAGAAACACTGGTGTGGAAAGCTGCTGAGGGATGCTAATGTAAAGTAGCTAAATGCAAGGAGCAAATGAATGTGCATAGATAATGACATAGATAACATAACCATAGGTAATAATACCTGATTAGTACCTACCTTTTGCAAGGTCATCTTTGAATTTTGAGAATTTCTTACTGCGTGTTATTTGACTTGGCCTTGTTTGACTATCAAAGTGCTGATTTCATTATACTTTTTCTTACATGTTCTTATCATTCTAAAATATATCTGTATGAGACTGTAGAGACCACAGGAATCAGACAGAATAGAAGTCATTATAGCATTGACAGAGGAGTAATTTCCAGGCTTTTGGCAGCCCAAAGGAGCAGTGCCTGGGCAGACACCCTCTGTGTCTCTCCTGGGTACCGGCTGTGCCACGTGGAACAGGAGTGAGGGGTGGGGAGTGTTCCTCTCTGGGATAGCTGACCACTGGTAACAAGCAGTAGCCCCCATAATTCCTTTAAGCATGCAATGGCCCTCACTTTTGCGTGCTTTTTATCCATATATACCTCAGCCTATGCTTGCAGGCCTGTAATCTCAATAACAAAGAAATTTGTCTTTGGGAAAATTCAGCTTTGCTCTCTGCTCCACGGTTCTGGAATGGAGTCAAGGAGGATCCAGTCACGAGGCATGTGAACCAGGTGGGAAATCACGGGGTCGGTCTTGAAGAAGGAAAGCCCAGGCACTGAGCAAAGAATGTTAGTTTGGACATGTGAGACAGCATGAGGAGTTAAGGAATGCTAAGGAATATTACAAAATTAAAGAGAGGAGCAGCCAGGCTCCATTAGGGTAGCTGAGGTCTTGTGGTGGGCGTAATGACTGGAAATGACTACAAAGAATATCCTTTCTCATCCCAAAGTCCTCTGTGCCCAGGATAGTGATTGTGATAAGAAGCAGTTTCATAAAAAAAAGTAAAATCTTTACAGATTTTGCACAAGTCTTTCTTTCACTTTACCTCTCTTATTTCTTTAAATCTTTAAGCACATTAAAATTTGTTCAAGGATGTTGTGCATTGCAGAGTTCTCCTGTGAGCCCTGCATTATGTGGTAAACAATGTTTTAAGACTCTTGGTCAGAAAAGATAAAAAGCTATCATCTAAATAAAGTGCTAGTGATCTCAAGAGGAATGAAGACAGAGCGTGGCAGCGAGTGGAGATGGACCTACATCAGTCAGTTAACCTTAGCCTGTTATTAGTTAGTCATTTAATCTAAGCTCCTTTAGCTTTCTTTATGAACAAGAGCACCCAGAGGAAGATCCACCCTGTGGTAATACAGACATGATGGATAGAATCATCTGCTCTCTGGACCTTCAGATTCTGAGAACTGTGCTGAGGACAAAGAGGATAAATTTTCAATAGACTGAATTTATAAATTGCAACCATAGAATTATAGAACAGTTTGGGTTGGAAGGGACCTTAAAGATCATCTCATTCCAACCTCCCTGCCATAGGCAGGGACATTTTCCACTAGCCCAGGTTGCTCCAAGCCCCATCCAACCTGGCCTTGGACACTTCCAGGGATGGGGCAGCTACAACTTCTCCGGGCAACATGTGCCAGGGCCATCCCCCTCACCGAGTAACAACTCCTTCCCAAAATGTATTCCAAATCTCCCCTCTGTTAGATTAAAAACATTCCTTCTTGTTCTATCATGACCTGCTCATGTAAAAAGCCATTCTCCCCCTTTATTAAACTCCTCTTAGGCCCTGGAAGGGGCACTGAGATCTCCCTGGAGCCTCCTCCAGGCTGAAGAACGAATGTGAACAGCCCAGCAGACTGACAGACAGAGCAGGGACCTTTCCCAGCCCGTGGGTGCACTGAGCAGGGCTGAAAACACAGTTAATGAGGAACACAGAAACTTTATTTCAGCCCCTCGGTCACGTCAGCATCGCTGTGGGTGCAGCGGAGCAGCGTGGGCAGGACAGAGCAGCCTCTGGCCCCAAGGCCACCTGTGGCCCAGCAGGAAATGGCCGTGGTCCACTGTAGCCCTGGATCCCGCTCATCCCGCTGCTCAAGCCTTTTTGTCCTTCAGGAAGCGCAGGAATTCCTGCAGCAGGTTCAGGAATTGCACCAGGATCAGCAGTGGGAATGCCGTGGGCATTGACGAGGCCGAGGAGGTCGGTGCCGGTCTCTGGCTGTGCTGGGGGATCGAGCTGATGTCTGGCTCTGGCCTCAGATGCTGCTCAGGGGTCAGGCTGATGTCTGGCTCTGTCACGGGGGTCAAGGTGACGGCTGGCTCTGGTTCTGGACCGGCTCTTTCTGCTGGGCTCAGGCCCGTCTGGAGCAGGATCCAGTTGTGGAAGTGCTGAGTGGAGGTGTAGATCCCGGGGTGCCTGGCTTTGTCACAGCCTCTTCCCCAGCTGCTCAGCCCCACCAGCCAGAAGTAGTCAGCTCTGTTGTCCTTGCAGACCAGGGGACCCCCGCTGTCCCCCTGTGGCAGGAGAGAGGGTTCAGGGTTTGTGGGGGGCTCCTCTCTGCCAGCCCCTGCCAGAGCCCCATTCCCAGCACGGGAAGGCTCTGCCTGGGGGCTGGAGCCTCCAGAGCCTCGGCTGGGAGCAGGCTGGGGGCTGTCCCAACTCTGCACAGTGGTCCCAGATGTGCAGAGGATGGATGATCCAGGGTCACATCTGCAGCTCGGGGCTGCCAGGAGCACTGGATGGGCTCTGTGGGCAGAGCCAGGCCCTGGGGACAAGGGGACATGGGGCAGGGACCCGTGGATGGGGAAGGGGAGGGCAGCCCTGGGATAGGGGACATGGGACAGGGCAGCCCTGGGATAGGGGATGTGGGACAGGGCAGCCCTGGGATAGGGGACATGGGACAGGGCAGCCCTGGGATAGGGGATGTGGGACAGGGCAGCCCTGGCAGCGGTGGGGACCTGGGGCTGGGAGGTCTCCAGGCCAGGCCCAGCCCGTGGCATGTTTGGGGTCAGGGGGTCCCTGTGCTGAGGGGGCTGAGGGACTGGTGCCACGCTCCCACCTGGCAGGTGTCGATGCCGCCCTGCGGGTACCCAGCACACAGGTTTTCGGGGTGCACGGCCCCCCCGTACCAGCGGCTGCTGTTGCAGAGCTGTGGGTCCATGAGGTGGACCTTGGCTTCCTGCAGCGCCACATCTGGTCCAGGAGTTGTAGGAACAGACAGGAATGAGCCTCCAGACGAGGGCTAATGAGCCTCCAGCAGCTCATTCCACAGTACCCATCCCCTCCCCTGCCTGGGGGTGAACCCCTTCCCCAGAACTGGCTTTGCCCCTGGAGCGACATTGTCCCGCTGTGTCCCTGCTGTTGGCTCTGGAGAAGGGGCCAGGCCCATCTCTCCAGAGTCTTCAGGGAGTCACAGAATGGTTTGGGCAGAAGGTTCCTCAAAGCTCATCCAGTGCCACCCCCCACTCTGGGCAGGGACCCCTTCCCCCAGCCCAGGCTGCTCCGAGACCTGGCCCTGCTGATGTCCTGCAGCCACAGCTGGACTGTGGCTGTGCCCAGCCCATGTCCCCGGGGTGCCCAGCCCATGTCCCTGGGGTGCCCAGCCCATGTCCCTGGGGTGCCCAGCCCATGTCTCTGGGGTGCCCAGCCCATGTCCCTGGGGTGCCCATCTCACCCTCAGGGCACACGTCCTTGTAGGGCCTCACCTCCTGGTGTGGCGAAACTCCATCCGGCGATGTAGCAGGATTTGAGCTCCGAGACCCTCACCGAGGTGTCGGGCACACAGCCCAGCTGGATGTAGTCGCTGCACTCCACGGGCTGGTCCAGCTCCAGCAGGGCAATGTCGTTCCTTGCCGTGGCAGCCACGTAGTGCTGGTGCACCAGGATCCTCTGGATGTGCCTCACCTCGGCCTCGGGGCCGGGCTGAGTCAGATCCGTGGCCCCCATCACCACGTCCCACCGGTAGACGTCCCTGGGGAGGAGGTGGAGAGAGGGGTGAGAGGAAGCAGAGCCACAGACTGTGGCAGCTTCCCAACCTTCTGCTTCCCAAGGGAGAGAGGGAAGCAGAGAGGAAAGAGCCGGGACGGGAGCAGCACGTGGTGCTGTGACCTGGGCACCTGCCCGAGCTGTGGGGACACCCCTGTCCCTGCCCCTCCTTACCCGGCCCTGAGGAAGCAGTGGGCGACCGTGAGGACCCACCGGGAGCTGAGGAGGACCCCCGAGCACATGTGCCACGTGCCATTCTCCCAGGTGGCCTGGATGCTGACGATGCCGGGCCAGGCCCCCGGCTGGACCCCGGTGCCACCCACGACGCGGGACGTGCCGTCGGCAGAAGCCATCGAGTTGTGGTCGGAAGCCATGGGCCGGAGCCCGCAGGTCCCTCTGGAAGCACAAAGCCATCACTGCCCTGCTCATTGCACCTCCCTGCTTGGTGCTGAGGGGCAGCAGGGCCAGGGACCCCCAAGGGCACATCTGTGCCCCTGGATCTACTGGAGCCCTGCAGATGAGCTGTGCCAGCACGTGGGTGCTGGCCAGGGACTGAGGCTTCTCCATGGGGACCAGGACACTGGGGTGTGGCTGTGGGGAACAAACAGGGCCCCTGCGTGGAACCCCTAAATGGGGCCACTGACCTGCAGGTGTCCCAGTTGCCACCCACGGGCCCGGCCAGGGCCAGCAGGACCAGGAGCCACAGCCAAGCCATCGGTGCCAGCGCACGTGGCAGTGCCAGGACCATGGGTCACCTCCAGCACAGCCCCCAGCGTTGTGCCCACAGCACCCACAGTGCCCCTGGCCTGGGGCTGATGTCACAGAGGGGCCCCTTCCGTGTGCTGGGCACGGCAGGGAGGGACAGCACCGAGTCACAGAGCCAGGGAATGGTTTGGGTGGGAAGGGACTTTAACAACCATCCAGTGCCACCCCTGCCACGGGCAGGGACACCTTCCACTGGCCCAGGTTGCTCCAAGCCCCATCCAGCCTGGCCTTGGACACTTCCAGGGATCCGGGGGCAGCCACAGCTTCTCTGGGCAACCTGTGCCAGGGCCTCCCCACCCTCCCAGCCAGGAATTCCTTCCTAACATCTAATCTGAACTTGCCCTCCTCCTGCTTAAGGCCATTTCCCCCTTGTCCTGTCACTACATGCTCTTGTCCAAAGTTCTTCTCCAGCCTTCTTTCAAGCCCCCCTTCGATAGTGGAAGGGGCTCTAAGTTCTCCATGGAGTCTTCTCCATGCTGACCAGCCCCAACTCTCTCAGCCTGTCATGCCCTTGTTCCCACCCTGAGTGAATATTTTAAATGTGAGCCTTGCTGTAAAACAGTGGTGCACTGCTAGTTCACTACATTCTCCTTTTACCTATGTTTATTTACATCCATTCCAGAAAGGCATCTGACTTTATTCCAATATCTCAATAAATGAAAGTTTCATTTTTTTGCTGTAATTTGTTGAAGTAGTTATTTGGAATCTTTGATGGAGATAAGTGTATTTGTAGTTTGTTTTTAACCACTTCAAATTTTAGTGTTAGATCTAAGGCTTACAAACCTTTACTGTCTGGCATTTTTCCTTACAGAAGAAACAAGGGCTTTTTGAGTTTCTTTGTAGAATCAAGAAATGGAGTGTTAAAAACCTAAATACAGACCATTTTTCCACTGATCAAATCATATTGTATGTATTTTAAAAAACATCCTTAATCATTTTATTTCCCAGAGGATGGAGAAGAGCTCTGTGGCTTAGTGCAATAGCGTGGTTTCCCACAAAGGCAGAGCAGTACAGGAGACTTGCAGCCGGGGCTCAGTGTTCTCTCCCAGCAGGCCTAAGGCAGTCAGTCAGCTTTAGTGGACAGGGAGGGGTTTGTTCACACTGGCCATGAGGAGTGGCAGGTTCCTCCACTGCAGGTGGTGAGAAGAGAGGAGCCTGGACATGCAATAGATCATAACTTTAGGAATCCAGGCATTTAGTGGCCAGAGGAATTGAATATGTGTGTGTGCACTAAAGCTTTTTCCTGAGTCCAAGTCTGTGTGCCATTTGTTTGCCTTTCTCTTTCAGTTGTGAACTCAAGGAGCAAAAGGTAAAACAGTTCCAGAGCTGTAACTCCCTCAGTTTATTCCTGTCACAGTTCAGGTTTTGTTTTCTCCCAGGATGGGTATATTGACTTCATGGAATATGTGGCTGCCCTCAGCCTTGTTCTCCGGGGGAAGATGGAGCAGAAGTTGCGCTGGTATTTCAAGCTCTATGATGTAGATGGCAACGGCTGCATCGATCGACACGAACTGCTCAACATTATTAAGGTGAATCTCTAGGGGGCTGTGTTCTTTCCTCTTTCCTTAAAGATAAAATCACACAAGTAACACTTTTCTGTTCCCCATATGGATCATCATGGGTGAGATCTTTAACATCATTCTTTCTTCGAGCAGAATTCCCCACCATCCCATAATGCAATAAGCAGCCTTGACAGACTCTACCACCACAGCAGATGTTACAGCATAACTAAGCATAAAATTGTTTTAGCTGCCTAGCACCTAAATTGCACTTTCCAAGGTTTCAGACTCCAGCTGTCAGTTGCCATCTCTGCAATGTGTCCTTCATATGTCCTTTTACCCATGAGAAGTCAGAGAGTTACTCCCAGTTTGTTTTTTGGAACCAGCTCCTAAATATCAATGCAAAAAACCATATCTGACACTGGCAAACAACTTGAAGAAGAATGATTGTGAATGGAAAGGATTGTATACAAACAGCTGCTCTGAACAGAGCACTACTGGCATTAAGATCACTATGAATACCTCAGAATTAATTATGCTGCAAGTTCAGATTATTTTGTAGACAGTGAGAAATTACCAAGATGCAGGAAAGATTCAAATAAATTACAGACCCCAAATAAATTACATTTCTGAATATGAAAGGTCAGGAAATTGATTTGATAAAGATTTGAAGGCTAAGCTGTCCACAAATAAAAGCACCAAGATGTTAGTAATGCATTCTCATCTGGATATGCCTTTTAGTGCTGGGTATCAAAGAGACCAAACCAAAATCAGTGACTAATAATATACAGCCTCCTAGTAATAGCTTGCAATAGAAATACTCAGACATTACAGCCAAGCCACAGATAGCAATAGTTAACATAGAGCTCCTAAGAAACAAGTCCCATAGGCAACAATTGGTGGCAAACAATTTATTGCCCTTTGAATTTTGTGGGTGTAGTTCAGTGTCTTTTTTGGCAGCCTTAGGAAGTTGCTGAGGTGATTCTTAATTTTAGTAAAATAGCATTTGAAAAAGAATGAAGAAAATTATCAAATATCAAACTTAGAAAATGAATAGTCTTAGAAATCAGTATAAAGGCTCTGGAATCACATATTTTATTGACATCCTTAAACAAACAAGATGATTAGGCATGGAAAGCAAAGAGAACTGTGTTCTATGTAGTTACAAAATAAGAAGAATTGTAGTAAACAGTAGTGGATAATGCTTTACCTTTCTCAATCCAAAAATTAATTTTTAATGAGCTTTCAGGAGAAACCAGACACACAGGAAGCAGTATATAAATGGAAATTGGGAAAGCAAGAGTAGAAATAAATGACCACAGCACAACAAAGGAATTTCATAATGTCAAATGCAGAGGGCGTTTGACAGTGTCACTGGTGGGCCACAGGGTCACCAACTGGGCCAGAGGGGATCAATCAGGTGGATCCTGATTCTGCCATTCCTGTAGTACCTAAACTGCACCTAAGCAGAGTTAGGGTGATCCTCTGGGTTTTGCTGCTCATTCTATGCTCCAGAACCATCCTCCCTTTGCACCATTAAGTGCCAGCCATAGGGCCTGATGATTTGTGTTGTGTTTTCCTATGATTCTGGTTCATTTGTACAGGGAAAGTGCCAGGCATGACTGTCTTATTCTGAATCTATGCTGACCTGCTGCAGTGGAATCATCACTCTGTCATTCCTGGAGCTACAAGGCAGACTCTTATTCTTGCTCTTTCATTTTAGGCTATTCGAGCTATTAATGGTGGTGACCATGAAACCAGTGCAGAAGAGTTCACCAACCGAGTCTTTGACAGGATTGATGTGAATGGAGATGGTAAGATTCCTGCCTTTGTCATCCAGCTCAGATAGTCTCTGTTCTACAGAGAAGCATCCATGTCTTCCTTTCTTGATCGAACTTTATGCCTCTTCATTTCATATTTTCTTTTTGTATGCATTCTCAGCCAGTAATCCATTCTCCATTAATCAAAAGGCATTTTTCTCCTTGCATCACACATGATCAATATGTCCAGATTTGTTCCCTGTACTGAGTGTCATCTGTGTTCTGTTCACATGAGTTTGGTACCAGGGTTTTGGAGTGGTGTTTTGTTTTGTTTTGTTTCCTTTTTATATGTTGCTGTGTAGCTTATGCCAGTTAGAAGTGGGAAATATTAACAAATGGCCCCAGCTGTTCCTACATATTTCAGCAGGGAAAGGAAGAACTGGAATTTCATGTTGAAGTTCAGAGTTTCTTCACTGGGTCTGTTGCAGGCAGTACAGCAATCCCATGAGGTGCTCAGTCAAAAGGTGATCAACACCACTGTAGTCACTATATGTCCCTGAGAGGTGTTTCTTTCTTTGCTACTTCAGGTACTTATAACCTCCTAACAGGCTCTTTTGTTATTCTAGAATAACTCTGCTGAGCTGCTTCCCTGCACAAGGGCTTTTGGGCCTAGGACAGAAAATATATTCCAGTCCATCATAGCCTCCTTCTATCACTTCCTTTATCCATGAAACCCAGCAAGTATAGGACAGGTTATGACTATGACAGGTTGGGCCAAAAAGGAGGTGGATAATCCAGCCTTATTTATAGGATGCTATGATCCCACTCCTTAGCCACACACTTCTACTGTTCTTTCTTATGTATCCCTTCCTTTCTATGGCAAAAAAGGAAGCTGGTGTTGCCTGGACACCAGGGAAGTTTCATAAAAGTTAAGACTCTCAGAGGCCTCAGTGCTTTCGAACAGTGCCTGTGTAGTAAGTGGTGTCTAGGGTTAGATTACTGTACTCCTTTTCCTGTCAAATGTGGATTCTGATGCCTTTTGTTTGTGTCTGACATAGGTGAACTTTCTCTGGATGAATTTGTGGAGGGAGCAAGGAAAGACGAGGAGTTCATGCAGGTTATGATGAAAAGTTTGGACCTGTCTCACATTGTGGCCATGATCAACAACCGTCGGCACAGTATATAAATCAAGCTGGGAGCAAATGCTGTGCCTAGAGACAGAAGGGTATAGAAACACAAGGAAGGAGAGACACCATTTTTTAAAACAAAATTTCCATAAACATGAATATGGAAGTAGGAACAGAAAGACACCGTTAAATTTTTATCTGAGTGCATGTTCCTGTACAAATACTGAAGTTCAGCCACATAAATGCAGGACAGGTTCAGAAAACTGGATCTGCGTGTCAGTATTTGACTTGACTTCCTAAAATTTAAAGACCAAATTTCAGGGCACAAGTTTCCTCCTTATTCTGTGTCCCAGATTGTCACTTTGCAATGGACTGAAAGTGATGCCAAGTTTGTGAAGAACACTGGCAGAACTGGATGATGGAGTGTGGAGAATTTCTGACATGTACGAAAGAAGAGCTTCAAACTGTTATCAACATAGAGAACTGTCAAAAGAATGTAACTTGTGCTGCTCTTGTCATGACATTGGTTCATAAACAGCAGCATGGTTGTCCATACCAGATGTGCTTCTATTTGGTAGTCTCTACAGGAGTAGTTTTAGTCATAAGATCACAGGAACTGGAAGAAAAACCAGTCTGACAGTGACAAGTCTGTCCCCAGCTGCACTGTCAGTAATGCAGATGTTTGAGCTTTCTGTGATCAAAGAACTCTACCAAACAAGTCAACAGTCTGGAGCAGCTTCTGTAACCAGAGAAAATATGCTGCTCAGTTTCTCAAAGCATTACTTGAGAGATCAAATCTTTTATACACTTGTTGCCCTGCTTATTCTCTTCTCATACAACTGAATCCCTGGAAGTGTTCAAGGCCAGGCTGAACAGGGCTTGGAGCAACCTGAACTAGTGAGTGGCATCCCTGCCAATGGCATAGGGTTGGAACTAGATGATCTTTGAGGTCCCTTCCAACCCAAACCATCCTGTGACTCTATGATAAATGAAGTATGTGAAGATGATCTTGTTGCTTCACATGTTCTTCATTGGTCTTTCACTTTGTTCTTGAGGAGACAACTTAATCAAAAGAAACACCTGCTGTTCATGTGAACGCCAGAGTGAAGTTAATACAGGATGGGAAGAGTGATGTAGAAACTCAGCAAAGTGTCTTGTTCATTGACATTAGATAAGGTCATGATCAGAAGCTCCTTTGACTTCAGAGAGGGAACCAGAAGGAAAGAAGAATGCAGGAAAAGTTCAGCTGAGTGCCTATGCCATAGCTGGCATGTTTTTCCTGTGCAGGAGGAAGAACTTGCAGACTTTGGACTGGACTTATTCTTGCTCATATTTAAGCTTCTGTGATGTTCATATGTGTGTTGGGTTTGCGTGGCCACGTTTTGGCTGCGGGGGGTGGTGGTGGTGGGGTGGGCACCTACAGGAGTGATTTCTGTGAGAAGCTGCCAGAAGTTTCCTCCTTGTCCAGCAGAACCAATGCCAGCTGTCTCCAGGATGGACCCACCGCTGGCCAAGGCTGAGCCCAGCAGAGATGGCAGTGACACCCTGGGGATAAGGTATTTAAGAAGGAAAAAAGTTATTGTGCAGAAGCAATTGCAGCCACAGGAGAGAGGAATGAGAATATGTGAG